AGATGGAACCAATCGGATGGATTAATGCTATGAAGGAACCAAGTGGTCGAGAAAGAGTGCAGTGTCATCTCCATAGTGCGACGTCGCGACGATGAGGGAGCAAGGTAATAAAAATGATGGGGATGATGGTTATCAAGACCAGTACCCTACTCAGATAGACCCTTTTTTTTTCAAGTTCACTATAGCCCAGTCATCATACTGTAACTGATATTACAGGGAGGGAACGGGAAGGAGAGCCTACGGCGTCACGGGCCGTTGAAGGCGGGCCCCGGGGAGTACTCCCACCTTCTATATATAAACCCACCTACACTTCGCGCCGGTTCGCCCCGGGATCCTCCGGATAGCGCCTGATCGCCAGGATCGCGTCCGAGCGCGCGGGATCTCTCCGGACCGCCGCAGATCGCCGCGGGTCGCGCCGGGGGCGCGCCGGATCGCTCCGGAAGGCTTCCGGATCGCCGCCCGCATATCCTGCGGCTATATCAGCTGCGCATATCTCGTTATCTGTAACTGATCCGTAGCGCGGGGCAACGCCGCTCCTCAGCGTTGGTATCGTCGTCTGCGTCGCGGTCTACCGTAACGATGGCTGCACCTGCTGGAGGTGGCGAAGTAGTAAACATCGTCGGCGGGGGACAGTTTCCAAAAATCACAGCTAAGTCAACAGACGACTTTGAAGTCGGTGTCACGCTCGGCACCGGTTCATTCGGGCGAGTGAGATTTGCGACCCACAAGGTGCATCGCAATTGACGCCATACACGATATATGGTTATATATAGGATACAACAACCCAGTGGGCCATCAAAATCCTGAAGAAGAGTGAAGTGATTCGTTTGCAGCAAGTAAGGCCTGTTAGTCAACTATTGGGCTGACTTGAAGATCAGGTCGAGCATATAATGTCCGAGAAGACCATCCTGGATCAGTGCAAGCACCCGTTTATTGTTCACCTCGCTTGCACTTTTCAAGGTGTGTACCGCTCTAGTTGAATGAACCAATGAAATTGGCATAGATAAGCGGCATCTCTACATGGTATTAGAATACGTGATCGGCGGAGAATTTTTTACACACCTTCGGAATGCCGGGCGTCTTGACACTATTTCGTCAAAGTTTTATTCTGCACAAGTTGCACTGATCTTCGAGTATTTGCATACCCACGACTTCATCTACCGTGATCTCAAACCCGAGAATCTTCTGCTTGACAAGGATGGCTACATTAAAATCACAGACTTTGGCTTTGCCAAGCGTGTCGTATTCAAGACGTTGAACCCCGCGTCTTGGGTCATCGTGTTTTTTTTGCTTCTGACTCGGGATTTTAGCATCAAGATGTACATACACCTCGAAAGAAAGGAAAACACGATGGGCCAATGTAGGTATACGTTGTGTGGAACGCCCGAGTACATTGCTCCAGAAGTGCTGCTAAACAAGGGCCATGGGAAAGGTGTCGACTGGTGGACTCTTGGGATTCTCATGTATGAAATGATGGTTGGACAGCCTCCCTTCGTTGATGATGACCCTATGGGCATTTATCAGCAAATTCTAAACGGTAAGCTCAATTTTCCGCGCTTCATCGAGCGGAGTGCGAAATCTTTGATCAAAAAGATGCTGGTGGCCGATCTAACGAAGCGTTATGGCTGCCTCAAGGGCGGGGCGGCGGACATAAAGAAACACAAATTCTTTCAGGGTCTCATATTTGATGATATGCTTTCGAAGCAACTTGCCGCGCCTGTGCTGCCCCTGGTGAAAGACGAATACGATACGTCAAACTACGATGCTTATCCTGACTCTGTGGAGCAGCCCCCAATTCCTGTATATGCTGGTGCAGACCTATTCGTTACGTTTTGAGTGCCCGCAGGCACACATATCCTATATAGCTATGAAGCACTCCCCTAGTATTCCCCTCCAACGAGCGCATGTGCATCTTTGTCTGTGCGCATTTTACCAAGTCGAGTAGCTGAATACCCCACTCGCCCAGAGATGAGTAGCAACAGCTGATGTTACATTCACAGTCGCTGCCAGTCTCGTATCATCTTTTTATGTTACTATGCACCCGTGCAGCTCGGTGGGAATTTGAGATACCTCGCAGGGAACTCGACGCCTGGCCACGGGCTGAGCCTAAGCAGGGCCGTGGCCATGAGCGTCCCAGCATCCTGGTGGAGGTAGCCGCAGCAGCCTGCCGGCGCAGTGAGAGGGCGGTAGTGTGTGCCAAAAGAAAAGACTCGGGCCGCCGTGGTGGTGCGGTTCTAACGGTGCTGGTACATACTAGTAATACAGAGACGTCCAGTTACATTTGGGCGAAGGACGAGACGATGGAACTTGCTGAAGGGCACTTACTAATCGACGGACCACGCTGCAGTGAAATGTATCACCCGGCTGACGCGTCGTCTTTTGCTCGAGACGCTGTGGTTGGTCGGCGGAGCGGGGCTGCGTTCGCGGTTCGGGGGCGGGCGAACATGTGTAGCGGGAATTGTCCCTTCAAGGTATACTTCTCTTACTAGCTTGAGGTTCACAGTGCAGTGGATATATGCCAGCTCAGTTGCTCACTTGTATCTTTTGTACGAGGATACGCGGATGCGGTACAGTACACTACTCTACTACTATTCTACTACTATCATGCTAGTATTGTATCTGCCCGGGGTATCCACTTCAAGTACG